AATTATCTGATATTTTCCAACTTCCAGATGGGGAAACTAAGTCTGGAGGTCCCTCACCAAGCTGTGCACTGAGCTCAGGAGGCAGCCTAGCGCCAGACAAGGAGTTTGCTGCTAATTCTCAGTGCCTCCTAGAGCGGATCCCGCACTCTCCAGCCTCAGCTGCCTTATCGGTAGAGGTAAGACAGGAAGCTGAGCCAGGTTTCTCAACTTTTCCCCTTCCCTCGCTCCCAGTTCCTGAGGTCGTTTCCTTTCTGGATTTCTGGCTGACATCCAGTCGCACCTGACGGAGGTGGAGATGGGATCCCAGTAGCCGATTGGCCGCGGGAAGCATCTCAAAAGAGGTCGCGGCCTTCCCAGAGCACTCAGGCCCTTCGGAGGTGCAGCCGCAGCTTTCCAGCTCCATCCGCACCCGGAGAGGGAACTCTCCGCCCGCGGCCCCACCCCGGAGCGAGCGAGCGCGGAGTCTCCCGGAATTCCAGCTCCTTTCCATCCCCCGCCGGGCTCCCCACCAATTTCGTGCTGGGAGGTTGCTAGGAGCTAACTGCCAGGGTGTGTGCGCGACTCCCAGGGGTTCCCCGCAGAAGCTGATTGGCGAGGGGGGCTTCCTGCAGCTGGCGGCAACCGACGCCCGGCCCCCTCCGCCTCCACCCGGGGAGAGAGGGCTGTAAAATTCCGGAAGAGAGATTAGAGGCAGGGGATGGGTGGGGCGGTGAATCAGAACATTCCTTCCTCCTTGCCTCCTCCTCTCTGGCTATCACTATCACGTTGGGAGGGTTGGGTCCGTTCAGGGCCTTCTCCTGACCACTCCGCTGGCACGGTCCCGGGAAAGCTAAGTAGCTAGCACTGGGCGGGACCCTCGTAGGGGTCTTCCGAGCTCAGCTGAACTTTGTAGAATCTGGATCCCCTATTTTGCAGCTCATGACCCCATTTGGTTTCGGATTGGGGAATTTTGGGTCGTTGCTTCCAACTGGCTCTTTTCCTTGAGAGTGGATCCCACATATCTGAGCAAGCCCCTCCTGGGAGGTAAGGTCTGTGCTGGGTCAGTCAATCTTATCTGCCTAAAACTTTGCAATGTAGGCATGCCCTGTCTCAAGTTGGAGGCAAGGAATCTGAAAGATGAGAGATGTGAGGTAACTTGCCCAAGGTCACACAGTAGCAGAAATCCCTTCATTTCCCACCGTGGCCTCCTTTACTGTAGCACACTGAAAAACAACACTAACCAGGGGTAGGGAAGTGACATGTATGGACCCCCTCCCACGGTGCTAGGTACTTTAAATATATTGTCTTTAATTACTTAGTCCCCCCCCCCCCCAACATCCCCCTGAGATAGATGTGATCACCTTGCCCATATTACACAAGAGGAAACTTTAGAAGCCTGGAATGTAAGGGGCAGACCTGGAATTCCTGTACAGTCGCAGTACAAACCAAGTTAATGTTTGTCTAGTGCTTGACAGTTTATAAAGCACTGTGAAGACCTTCATCTTAGAGCAGTCCTGTTTCACAGATGAGAATAGAGGTTCAATCACGAAGTGAAGCAATCTGTTTGTCCAAGGTCACAAAACTAAAAGTAGCAGAGCCTACAATTTTGAAATAAACTCTATACTGCTAATAGCAAAACTCGTCCCATGTATTTATTTGACAATGCCAGATACCGTTCTAATAATTGTATTAATAGTTAACACTTATTGAACATTTACTCTGTCCAGTATAGTGCTGAGTTACACACTCAAAACTGCATGATGAGCTAAGTTGTGTTACCTTTTTCAGTTTACAGATGGGGAAATTAAGACTGGATTGCCAAAACCGGTTTGGCTCAGTGGATAGAGCACATGTGTCAAACACAAGGCCCTCGGGCCAAATCCGTCCCGCCAGGCCTTGCAATGTGGCCTGCACCGCGCTGTCATCACTGCACTCCGCTGCATTTCCATCACAATGACAGTTTATGACTGTTCAGTAAACCATTCGGCCCGCGATTTAGGCTGGATTTTAGATTTTGGCCCCTTCTCTGATTGAGTTCGACACCCCTAGAGAGCGTCAGCCTGCGGACTGAAAGGTCCTAGGTTCCATTCTGGTCAAGGGCATGTACCTCAGTTTGGTTGCGGGCACATCCCCAGTAGGGGTGTGCAGAAGGCAGCTGATCGATGTCTCTCTCTCATCGATGTTTCTAACTCTCTATCCCTCTACTTTCCTCTCTGTAAAAAATCAATACAAAAAAAAAATATATATATATATATATATATAAAAGACTGGATTAAGTAACTTCCCAAGGTTACCCAGCAAATAAATGGCAATGCCAGGAGGCCAGATGAAACAGTCTGGAGCCCCAGGGTATGAACCAGGGAGCTGGGTTGTGTCCCCACTTCTGCATCAAACCACTTCCCCCAGGATTTTGGTTTCTTTGTCACACCACCATCACTTCTTTCTCTAACTCCTGTGTGCGGCAGGCCCACACAGCTCCTGCCTTAAAGAGCTAAGGCTCTGCTCTATAAAACCAGTCAGGAATACCACCAGTTTGCCTCACATGGGAAGATTGATAAGCTAATGCACATGTGTCAAACACAAGGCCCGCTGGCCAAATCCGTCCCGCCAGGCCTTGCAATGTGGCCCGCACCGTGCTGTCATCACTGCACTCCGCTGCGTTTCCATCACAATGACAGTTTATGACTGTTCAGTAAACCATTCGGCCCGAGATTTAGGCTGGATTTTAGATTTTGGCCCCTTCTCTGATTGAGTTCGACACCCCTAAGCTAATGGCACTTGGAATGCTTCAGCAAAGGCAGTAGATAAGCTCAGGGCACTTATTACGTATAAAACTCACTACTAAGAGTAGTTCACGCTGTAACTAGGCACCTGTTGCCCAACTCCAGATCTGTTTGTGGTGTGCAGTCTTCCTCGGAGACCATTTGGTCATTCATGGTGTGGGGAGTTGGTGATGCCATGATCTCAGGCCTTTTGCTGTCAGAGGAGGGTATTTTCAACATCTCAAAAGGGATTCCAGGTGAATCTGAGGGGCACCAGTGATTGACTGGAGTCAGAGACGAACATCATGTTTATTTGAGCTTTAGAGGAAGACGGCTGGGCTGAATGAATCCTGCTTCTGTCACTTCACTTCTCCGAGTCTCAATCCCTTTTAAAATGAGGATAATAATACCTTTTTCATAGGGTTATTTTGAAGCATACACTGGATAATATATTTTAAAACATCTCACCCATGGCTTAGAATAGGGCAGATGCTTCGTAAATGGTGGCCATTATCGTAGCCATTATTGTTGCCCTTATGTTATTATATTATTTACTGACATTTTAGGGCCAGGCTGACAGCTTAGTTGGACTAGTCATCCGTCAGTCATTAGTTCAACAGTCTACCAGACTGTGCCAAGTAGGTCAGTTTAAGTAGGGGAGAATCAGGAAAATAGGCATTTATAAATGCTATGATAGGAGATTGCATAAGGTGTTTTGAGATTTTAGCGGAAGGATGAATAATAACCAAGAGAGTCAGCAAAAAATTTTTGCAGAGGAGATAGTTGTCTGTTTCAAGTCTGTGCTTGGAGGAAGTGGAAAATGATGCCTGCTGGAGGCAGGTAGAGTGCACACGGCAGCTGAGCCCGAGCTCCTCACCCAAGGGCGGCGAATCTGATCTTCAGTCCCTCTTGCTTCAAGGCCTCTCTACTCCCACACAGCCCTGCCAGCCAGCCTTGCCCTGGAATACCCCCTCCTGGGCCACCTGCTGGTGGTGAACACCCCGGTCCTGTGCTGTGGCTTGATGTGGCTGAGTCATAAGACCTTTCTTTTCACTGCTAAGCTGAATGGAAGCCTTCTGGTCAGAAGCAATGCCCCCACCTTGTGTGGGAGGCCTCAGGATGACTACTGACCCGTGTTTCTCCCCCACCCCCCCAGGGCCAGGTGAAGAGGTGTGCGCTGGAAACCGGAGGAGGGGAGAGGCAGGGACAGCAGTCCCTTCTACATTGGTGCTAGTTCTGGGAAGGGGAGACTTCCCAGGTGGAAAGGAAGGACAGAGCAGCCCCTTCCCCGCAAAGCTTATGAGTGAGCCTCCTCTCTTCGTCCCAACCAACCAGCTTCCATGCCTCTTTCTGGCTGCCACCTGGCAGGAGCCCAGAACCCAGTCTCTCAACTCACCGGTGACCACATTTTCCATAGTCTGACAAAGAATTAAATAATTTCTGGCCGCCTTTCACATGCAGGAGAGAATGGTTTAATCTCGAGGGTAATCAATCCCCATCGTTACAGGGGACATTAGGTTAGAAACCTTGAAATTCTGGATCTCCTCTTTATCAAGCATCTCCCCCCTCCCCCCATAGTTACATCGTTGATATGTGGAAAGAGCCCCGCGAGGTAGCTGATAACGATTTCTATTTAATGTTTGAGAATACTCAGAAGTAACTTGCCCACGATGCCACATCCCGGAAGTTTGAACTTTGGCCCGTCAGGGAGGGCTCTTAGGTCTGGGTGTGCTTGGCGGCAGGGCTGTGGGGGGAGGCGCGGAAACATCCTTTGCAATTGTAGACGCACACGCCATGTATGTGGGGCCTCGAGGAAGGGCAGCCAAGAACTGAGCTGTCCGGGAGTTGGAAATCCCCAAGCAAAGGGCTCGGTCGCTGCCTCACCCCAGAAGGATCCGGCCGCAGCCCCGCCGCCCGGGACGCAGGAAAAAGCCCTTCGACCTTGCAGGTCACCCGGCGGCCTTCGGCCTTCTCTCCGGCCCAGGTGCGGAAGGGCGGGCCGGGGCGTGGGCGGTCGGCTCGCTCGGCCTCCTCCCACGCTCCCCCGGGTCACATGGAAGCGCTTCCGCAGCCAGCGGAGCAGAGCGGAACGAAGGCCGAGAAGCCGCGGGCGAGGCGCCGAGGGCAGTGGGTTAGCGCCCGGCGGGGGCAGTGGGCGGGCCCAGCCGCCCCGCGCCGGCCGGCCAGCCAATCAGCGGGCGCGGTGGGCGGGCCGCCGGGCCCGCGCCGCGCCCCGCAGCGCCCCCTGAGGGGCGGCGGCGGGAGCTGGTTCCGGCTGCGCGCGCAGCGGTGGTGGCGGAGGCGCGATCGTGGGGCTGTAACCGTCGTCCGTCCGGTAGCGGCTGGAGCGGCAGCGGCGGCCGGGCACGGCACCAGGCGACGCCACAGCGTAGCGGCGGCAGCGGGGGCAGCGGCGGCAGCAGGAGACGCAGCGGCGGCCGCAGCAGCAGCAGCAAGACGGACTCGTGGACACGCGCCGCCGCCGCCGCCGCCGCCGGGCCGGGCCGGGTGTCGCGCGCCGAGGCTGGGGGGGAGTCGTCGCCGCCGCCACCGCTACCGCCGCCGCCGCCGCCGCCGAGGTGACTGAGGAGAGAGGCGCCTCCTCGCTCCCGCCTCCGCCGGACGTCAATGCCCAGGCCCCAGCTCGCCAGCGTGAGTGCGCCGCTGCCGGGCGGCCCCCGCGCCGGCCCCCGGGGCCTCGGGGAGGGGAGGGCGGGAGGCGCCGCAGCCATTAGCGCAGGCCCGAGACACGTCCCCGGAAGGAGGGCGGCCGGGCGGGGGAGCGCGGCCGGGAAGCGTGGAGAGGGAGGGTGGGTGCGGAAGGCGGGGGAATGGTGTGTGTAAGAATGCGGGGCGTGTGGGCGGGGGGAGTGTGCGTGCGCGGAGGGGCTGAGGGTGCATGCGGGGGTGCGGGAGGGGAGGCCGGGGTGCCCGGGTGGGAGGGAGGGAGAGTGGGGTGTGTGTACAGGAGGGTGTGCGGGCGGTGGTGTCTGCGTGGACGGTGTGGGGAGAACATGAGTGTCGGAGGAGAGTGACTTGGGGGGCAGCGTGCGGGGACCAGTGAGTGTGGGAGAAGGGAGTGCAGCGTGAGGGGTTGGGGAGAAGGTGAGTGTGGGGAGGGTGTGCTGCGGCCGTCCAGAGGGAGTGTGAGCAGCACCCCGAGGCTCGACCCGGTGGAGGTGTAAGGCGACCGTGAGTCCTGGTGTTCCGAGTTAGGGAGTTCTTTCCAGGAGCGTCTTGTCCCTGGCTTCTTGGGTTCAAGGGTGAGGAAAAGTGTATTCCAGTGGCACTGTCATTTTCTAGTTCTGGGATTTTTGAAAAGAGTGTGCCTTTTCCCCTCCCCTTTTCATGCCATCTACCATAAATTTCTAAATTTGTCAAGGATGTGGTTGTCATCCCATTTTAGTCCGGGGATGTGAGAGCTAACTAAAACTTGTCCATTGCCCAGGATCCTAGGCTTCTGCCTTTATTCAGCAGCAGAGACTCTTGTAAAATATTGTTAGCTTTTCAGGGGAGGTGAAAGGTATTTTATTTTTAGGTAAATTTGAAGTCATATTTTTTAGATTGTGGCTCTTTCCTAATCTTCTGGAGAAGAGCTCTTAGGAAATAATGCTGCTGCTGCTGCTATGATGTAATGATGATGGACAAGAACCGTAGGCTAGTTCTTTATTTTCTGGAATTTGTGAAGAGACATATAAAGTGTCTAGCAGTTCTAGCATCACTGTAGGCGTTCAACAAATGCTGCTTGTTTGTTTGGAGTCACCAAACGACAACCACTGCTGGATTAGGAGATGGTAGTTATTTGCTGCCATACTCTCTATTACAGTAGTTTCAGATAGGAAGTTATGCTTCGTTACATGTGCAAAAAGAAATGAAGGCTATAAAAGGATACTTTATTAAGGTTTCAGAATCTCTTGTCAGTATACCATTGTGTTGGTGAAGATGGTGAGAAGTTGTTTGCCAGTATTCTGATCTTGACATTTTAAAAGTTGTTTCTTATTGGATTGTGAATGAACTAATCACTATCATGGACTTTTCCCAGATTCTTGTATTGTAGAAGTTAGGGGTTCTTCATAAAGAGTGCCTTATATGGGTTTTATACCTTAATGATGAGACTTTTATCAGAAGTTGGGAGTTTTTCAATATGATAACCGAAGAGTTAGATAGTAGACATAATAGAATCACAGGCAAAAGCAGTGATGTGTCAAATTATATTTTTCTTAGAGCATTCTTTTTCTTAATCACTGTCATGCCCTCTGTTTTTGAAAATAGTAAATAATGTTACTATTCAGTGGGGACCTGGATTAATTAGTATTAAATGCCTACTATATACCAGGTGCTTTTTATATTCATTTAATTCTCACGGCTATTAAAAGGTGGTAAGTGTCTTCATTTATATTTATTTGGCACATATTGGTGGCTTCTATTTGCCAGGCGGATACAATGATGAGCCCTCATTGACTTAAAGTGATGAAGAGACTCAAAGAAATAACTTGTTCTAGGTCAAAAGATAATAGGAATTGGATTAAAAACTCAGGTCTTTCTGACTCCAAAGTGCTTGATTTTTCCACCACATAATTACTATCTTCACATTAGGTTGTCTCACGTTGGGGTATTTTACCACACAGTGTCAGCTTGTACAGGTGAGAGATGTTGAAGTTATAGCAGAAGAGTAAATGGATGGAGGCAAGGGGATCATTTAGGAGATGCTGACTCGGAGGCTTTTCAGAATCTAACTAAGCAAGGGTTTTATGTGGGTGGAGCTTATGCCTTGAAACTCTCCTGGGGCCCCAGGATGTGTGCTTTGAGACAGAGTTTTTATGAGGCACCTGGAATATGTCTGGGAGAGGAAAGTCTGGTTAAAGGAACTCAGCAGCCTTTTATGTTTTTTATTTTGGGGGGCTAAGAGTCAGCTAGTAGTAGTCACTTTTTTGTTAAAGTCTTTGTTCAGCTTGTGGGGTATTTTCCTCCCTGAGATTGTGAACAGCAAGTGAGAAAATACATATGAAAGCAGTTTGTTAATTACACATTGAAATACAGATTCAAAGTATTAGTACCATTAAGACTTTTCTACTAAGACAATAGTTTAATTTTACATTTAGTACCTGGAAAAGGCTAGCAATTTAGAATACCTATACAAATGAGAAATTGTTTAGAACTGTTGGACCTGGTATATTCTGACTCAAAATAGCAAAAGTCAAACCACTCCCTCCGTGAGTCAGTCAAGTAATATTTAATTTGAACGAACCAAACTTATAGGCAGAAAACATTTATATCAGTGAACTTTCATGGCATTAGGGAAGAGTAAATGATTTTTGAATACTTATGTACGGTATATAATTTTCTTAAAAGGTCTTGAAAACCCCATATTTATATTTTACTTGAAAAGACATTTGTGTGTACAAAGTAAAAAAGATTTATGTTTCTTAAGAATTTTTGCTGTCTTTCAAAGGTAATATTTCTACAGTAATTACAGAATGCTATGATTTTGAGGCACAAAATTAGAATTTATTTTACAGGATTTGAGTGTACTTTCTTTTTGTTGGAAGTTGTGATTGGTAACTAGTGGAGCCTTGAGAAAAAGCATTACAAATAAGTTGCAGAGGAACAGTACATAAATTTTTAACTGTTGCACTTGGAAGAGTGAAACCTAAGTTAGGCAGATTTCTTTCAGTGCTATACTATTAGTTGTACTATTCATAGAAGTTGGGGATCTTTAAAAATTTTTGGTGACTTGAAATCAGGATCCATAGTTTAATATGGTAGAAGAAGAAGAGTAGTGGTAGAATTCTTGAGGTCTTAACTACTTGTAAAGTCCCAACATTATGTTTAGGTTTCAATATTCCCTTCTTGAGATAATTTCTTTTGTGCTGAATCACAAATCATCTCATTTACAGTTCATAATAATCCTGTAAGTGGCATTCTTTCAGTTTTATAGATAAGGAAATTGGTTTGTAGATGAATTGTTGAATCCCAAGTTTTGGAATTCAATTTAAACAGCATCAGTAAATAAATGGTAGAGAATAAAATAAATTTCCCCTTGGGGCTTAAAGTACTTAATGTAGGCGTTAAGTAGAAGTTAAGGACAGACCCCCCTTATTTTGGCTTGAATTTTATTTTATTTTTTAAAATACATTTTATTGATTTTTTACAGACAGGAAGGGAGAGAGATAGAGAGCTAGAAACGTCCGATGAGAGAGAATCATCGACCAGCTGCCTCTCGCACACCCCCTACCAGGGATGTGCCCACAACCAATGTACATGCCCCTGACCGGAATCGAACCCGGGACCTTTCAGTCCGAAGACCGACGCTCTGTCGCTGAGCCAAACCGGTTTCGGCTGAATTTTATTTTTTTAATGTAAAATTAAAAAATACATATTTTTAATTTTACATTAAAAATATAACCTAGGCATGTACCCTGACCTGAATTGAACCGAGACTTCCTGGTTCATAGGTCAACACTCAAATACCTAGGCATACCCACCAGGCTATTTTTTTTTAAAGGGTACTTCAGGTACTTGCATACATTTTTTACTCTTTTGGGGATGTATTGCTTTGAGATTTTTTCTCAGGACACTGGTTGGGTTACACAGAAACTGATGATTCTCTAAGTTTAAAAAGTAAGAACCTTTGATGTTACAATTCAGTTTTGTACTGGGAATGGTTAAATGAACAGTGGATGCCACCAGTTATAATTATTTTGGGAAGTGGTGATTTGAGTCTATTAATCTGGGATATTAGAAGAGCCTTTTTTCCATTTTCAACTTCAGAACTAATTTATGTGTAGAGGTGTCTGTTAGCTTTTTTTTAGTTATCTTTTTTTTTAATATATAATAAATCTTTATTGTTCAGATTATTACAGGTGTTCTCCCCCCACCCCCCCCATAGCTCTCTTCCACCTGATTTCCCACTCCACCCCATGCCCTTACCCATGCCCATACACCCGCCACTGTCTTCATCCATTGGTGTAAAATTTTTGTCCATTCTCTTCCCAAACCCCTCAGTATCTTTTGTTTTATTGACTAAACATTCTCTAGCTCCTTTGACTTCCTGCCTACTGTAGGGATTTAAAGCCTTGCTGGGTTGCCTGGTGTAGCGTTCTAGTGGTTGTTGTATGTAAATTTGTTGTTCCTTAGAGTTATAGAGGTTTATGCTGTACCAGAAACTGTCACTACTCTATCTAGCACTTCCATTCTATGAAAAAGCTTCACAGCACTGTAGGCTTTATCTACTTTCCACAGTTACCCTGTGGAGTACAGGACCCAGGTGAGAAAGTGACTCTCCTGCAATGTCTTAGGTGGTTTTTCCTGCATTATCTGTTCAATCAGTGTAGATATACTGGCACAAAATCTTTTCCAGAAAAATGACTATGAGGAATTGACACATTATACTACCAGTTAAGTGACTGTAATACAAATGGTTTTTGTTTCCCCGAACAGATTTCTGTCCTATAGTTCCTGTAACACAGCATCCACTCTATCTTAAGTAGCTTAGAAACTAAACTTCATCATTTTAATATAAATTTACATTGCATGGCATTGCCGTTTTAAGCTGTAGAGAATTTTAAGACTAACCTTTTTTTTTTGCTAGTTGAGTCTGTTTTGGAAAAATATTTTGAACATTAGAACAGTCTTTACCTTTAGGGAATTGT